ATACTCAGATCTAGATACTATGTCTCTAGACGAAGCAATCGGGAGACTGAAGACTTTTGAAGAAAGATTGAAATTCAAGAAGGAAAGAAGCGTGGACACTCAAGAAGGATTGATGTTCACACGACATGAACACCGAGTCCAACCTTTCAGAGGACGTGGTCGTGGCAGATTTAATCAATCACGAGGCCGAGGATATAACAAATTCAGATCAGAAAGGATGAACTGGGAACCCTCACAAAATAGTTTCAAGAAAGAAACTATCAGTAATACAAAGAAGTTTGCTCCTGATAAGAGTAAAGTAAGTGCTTCAAGTGCAAGAAGCATGGACATTATGCAACAAGATGTCCAGAAAAGGATCAAGAACCGGAACACTCTAATCTCATTGAAGAAGACTTAGAACCGACACTACTCATGGCGACTATTGAAGAACACCATAAAGTTCTCTTGAACGAAAGGAATCTCGAAGTAAGCAAGATAACTTCAAATGACAAAAGTCTATGGTACTTAGACAATGGAGCAAGTAACCATATGACTTGAGTCAAAGATCATTTCAACGAGATTGACGAGAAGATTACCGGGAACGTAAGATTCGGAGATGGATCATACATAGAGATCAAAGGAAAAGGTTCCATACTGTTGGAATGCAAAAATAAAGAACAACGGGTCGTTTCACAGGTATATTACATTCCAAGTCTTAAGAGTAATATACTAAGCCTTGGTCAATTGACAGAGAATGGTTGCAAAGTAGTCATGGAAGAGGATCTGTTACTACTATATGATTCAAGCAACAACATTCTACTAAGGGTCATACGATCAAAGTACCAACTATACAAGGCAAGTCTCAGAATTCGCAAACCCATCTGTTTATTAGCCAACCTACATGACAAAGCATGGTTATGGCATGCAAGACTGGGCCATCTGAACTTTGGTTCAATGAAGAAAATGGTTTCAAAGAAATTAGTTTATGGAATACCTCGCACCAAGTATACGGCAGACATTTGCGACATATGCTTAATAGGAAAGCACAGCAGAACTCCGTTTCCACACCATACGAATTCAAGGTCAGAGGCACCATTGAATTTGGTGTTTGGAGATCTGTATGGTCCAATATCACCACCTACACCAACCTGCAAAAGGTACATATTCCTACTAATTGATGACTACTCATGATATATGTGGGAATACTTTTTAGACTCAAAAGATCAGGCCTTTGGAATCTTCAAAGAATTTAAACCAAAGGTGGAAAACGAACTTGGACTCAAGTTGAAGATGTTCAGAACAGACAGAGGAGGGGAATTCACTTCAAATGAATTCCTGCAATACTGCAAAGATAATGGCATCTCATTGCAATTAACTGCACCATACTCACCTCAACAAAACRGAGTAGTTGAACGAAAGAATWGGACAATTCTTTCARTAACAAAATGCATGATGAAAGCAACGAACTTGCCACAGAACTTTTGGGAAGAMGCAGTTAGACATGYCATACTAATATTAAATTGCACACCAACAAAGTCACTTGAAGACATTACTCCRTATGAAGCATTAAAAGGAAGGAWRCCAAGYCTACATCATCTAAGGATTTTTGGGTGCATCGCATATGCAAAGGTACCCTCACAACACTTGACTAAATTAGACGATAGAAGTATACGAATGGTATACTTGGGCAGTGAGCCAGGATCAAAAGCATATCGTCTATTTGATCCAATAAAGAATAGAATTTGCATCAGTAGGGACGTAAAATTCAAAGAAGACGAGACATGGAATTGGAAGGACTTTACTAAAGATTTTAATCTAGACAAACCAAGATGGACTGATTTCAATATAGGGAATAATGGAACACCTCATACTCAACTTATCTCAAATGAAAGTGAAGAATTTGAGAATGATGTTACACATGGTAACAATGACTTAGATGAAGAAGTACCTACTACACCCAATTCTCAGATATTACTCATGAAGATAGCCCACAACAACTCACCATCAATTCACCAGAGTCAGAGTCGGAAATTGATACACCTTCTACAGCAGATTCAAGAATTGATCATATACCTGTAAGAGGTTACAGGCCCTGAAGGGTGCGTTCGGTATGCAGACTACATGGAACGGGACCTAATATCGTTGTACACAATTACCAAACAATTATATTTCATTTTGCACTATATCATGAGAGCCTCCTAATCATTCTGACCACTTAAATCATTCTGCACCAAACCATTCAGCAATTGCCAAACAGCCTCCACGCTAAATAATCTTTATATTTTATTGTATGATTTATGAATATATGAACATGTTTGGCTCGAAAAAGTGTACGCTCTATTGAATTGGCTTGCTCGGTACGGCTCGTTATCGAACCTTATTGTTATGAAGCTCGACTTGTTAATTTAAACGTCTATTTCATGTTCGAGATCGACTCGAGCTCGAGAATAGTTAAGCTTGAGCTTGAGTAGCTCGTTAAAAGATCGGATCATTTACACCTCTAACTATAGTAGCGATCACAGCGGACTCACTTGAGTTCACATGCTAAAGTGTAAATCTAACGTTGCCAACATAATCCCTCACTTCTATAACATGGTTTATACTCAATTTGGCAAGAAAAGTAAGACTTTGTTTTGATAATGCTCAATAATTAAACTTTAAAGATTTCTTTAGCAGAAAGACTGTTATTCATCAAAAGTCTTGTGTTGAGAGTAGGGATGGAAACAAAGCGGGCGGGTATTGGATGGGTAATGCATCCCACGTCCCCAACCCCAACCCCCGTTTAAGCCCCCGTCCCCGACCCTAGTCACTATGCCCCAACGGTTTCAGGGGGGAAAAAAATCCCCGGCAGGTTCGAGGAACCCATTTATAAAAAACAAAAAAAACAGTGTATTTTAAAATTAAAATAATAATGAATTGTCACTACATAGCAGGTGCGTTATCATGCAACCCTTACAACCAAATCAGAAGCGTCCATTTGATCATCAATGGTAACCAATTGATCAGTTGTAGCTACCCTTAATTAAAAAAACATAAAATAAAATAAAATGGATGGTGGATAAATGGGTTGCATCGGTTTATAATCTAGAGGGGTTGTATTTGAACGCTCCATATATATATATATATATATATATATATATTTAACTATATATACACACTATATACATATATTAAATAAAATAAAAATATTTAATTTGGTCGGATTAAGGCGAGTAATGGCATCCCTGACCCCGCTTCGATACCAGCCCCTACTCGAAAAATTTGCAACTCTAGTTGAGAGACCACAAGAAACTTTGTTGTAGAACCAAAACACCACTACTTGCTAAATGCTTCTCGTGCCTTACTTTTTCAACCCAAACCCAAAGAGCCTATTAAGTACTGGTTTGATTGTTTGATCATGGTAGCCTTTCTTATTATTAGTAACCCTCTTAAGTGTTATAGTGGAAGCCTCCTTATGAGAGATTATACGACAAGCTACCTAATTTTTAAATTGATACATGTTGCAATTGAATCAATTTGGAAAACAAAAATCAAATGGTGCAATTGAATCAATTTGGAAAACAAAAATCAAATGGTGCAATTGAATCAATTTGGAAAACGAAAATCAAATGGTTTCTCCTCCACTATCACAGATTACAAGATCACTCCTCCATTATCACAAATTACAAGATCACTCCCAAGAACCCGAGAGTCCTGGATTCTCCCAATCGCTCGGTAACGAACAAGCTACAAAACAGAATACCCTCGACTACCAACTAGCATCTTTATTTATACTACACGTAACCACTTCAATCGCCTCACCTAGGAACTTCTCTTCACCAAAAAGGACATGACAACCCCTCACTAATATAGCGATGTAGCTTCTTAATCAACAGAGAAAAAATCATTAATTTGACTTCCAAGCTCACTTGATGAGTAACTAGTATCTAAAATTATCCTCTTTCCCTGCCATAAGAATGGCAGAGTTTGACCCTACATGTTTTGACAACATTCAAATGTCTAATTACCCTTCCTCCAATAATGACATGACCTTGGTTTTAAAAAGCACGATGCGGTCCGAGGCGGTAAGGGTCACGGAAGCCGATGCGTGATGCTGATGCGCTCGGTATTCAAAAAATATTTATAAATTAATTCTACATATCAATTTCTACCTTAAAAAATACTTACCTATCAAAATACTTCATTTATAACATATAGTTCAAAAAGTGGCATTAGAATCTTAAAAAGTTCGTGAATCGGAATAATAGAACACACAAACTACTACCATGAAGAACACAAGTAAATGTCTAATAGTCCCCATTCCCTAAACTAAATGACCAAGTGACCAACTAAATACTCCCCAAGATCAGCATCATCAAACCCCAACACGGGTTCATCTCCCTCATTTGGCTGTACGACAACAACTCACGTTCTATTTCGTTTTTAATCTGATTGATATGCAAGTGCGACTTCTGCTTCTTCTATTAGTGGTTGTCGGCTTCTTCTATTAGGTCACCATTTAGTTTCACGTTCTATTTTAATCAACTAAAAAGCCCAATTAAAAACTGAAAAAGGGAGCCCAAACACGAAACATACAGGATGCGCTGATGCATAGGTGATGCACACATCGTGTGATGCGTAGGTGATGCGAGCGCATCATGGAATCGCAACGCATCAGCCCATCTGATGCGTTTCCTCCAGCGCATCACGCATCAGATCGCATTATGCGCACATTTTTAAACCAAGGACATGACAAGGTAACTAGCGTGAATTATGATAATCGGGTCTTGGTTATGCACTTGAGGTAATTGTTATGTGTTTACCTGATTATGTGATCACGTGAATATCAAATTAATTCCTTTGATTGATCATGTGGATACATGCTTACATGAGATTAATATGTAAGTGTGTATATTTTCATGCATGGAAAGTGTGAAGAGTTAACCACAAGGGTGGTGTATGATTGGTTTGAACTTGGCTCCAAACGTCAAATGTAATAGGAGGTCCCAAGTTCAAATCCAAGAAAAAATAAAAATCCCCTTGTGGCCACGGAGGTTCAAATGCAGCGACTCCGGGCTATCTGCAAAGCAGGTGGTCGCCCTGGGATTAGTCGGCTTGCATAGCGGGTTGGATATCCAGGTTAATCAAGAAAAAAGTGTGAAGAGTTGATATATATGTATGGAAATGTGTATGCATGTTTTATAAGAAGTTGTGTGTGCATCGTTTGCATGCATGAGTATTTTATGTGCATGTGTGTATGTACTTGGGGTGTGATTAGAAGAATTTTATAATTCTCTTCTAAACCGTCTTCCTTGAAGTTGATATAAAAGAGGAAAGTTGAAAAGAGAAAAGCTTTCAGCTATTTTTGGAAAGTGAGAGAGAGTAAGTGAGAAATCTGTGTCTTGCTAAATTTGGAAATTGAAGAGTGGGATAAGTGGAAGCAGTGTGTTCGTAAAATTCTCTTCTATCAAAATCAAACTTTTGTTTGCAAGGTGAGTTTTATTTTACAAAATAGCTTTTGAATTCGTTATGAATTATTAGGTTTACATGTTTTGGTACTGCTGTTGTATGAGTTTGATTCCAAGTTTTTGATGATCTTCAATGTCCGATAAGGACTTAAAATCGGATAAGTGTTGTCCAATGAAGGCTCCTCACCGACTAAGTCTTGGTCGGAGAAGAGTTGGTTAATTTTAAGTGTTGACTGATGAGACCTCTTATCGGACATAGCCTTGTCCGATAAGGAGACTTCACCGGACATAGTATTGTTCGGTTAAGTTACTCATCGCTCATTGTGTTATATGAAATTAATGTTTGAAGGGTCAAGTATTTTCCGAATAAGAGGGTCCGGCGAGAGGGTATCCGGACAAGGTGTGACCGGTGTTTATGTTGTTCATTGCCAAATGTTGTCCGGATAAGTGTTGTCCGAATATGTGTTGTCCGGATAAGTGTTGTCCGAATATGTGTTGTCCGGATAGGCTTGCCCAGATAGTGTTGCCCGGATAGGGTTAACCGATGAAGGGAAATTGCCTAAAACTTGTGATTTTCAAAACTGGTATCTCACAGTTCTAAACTGTTTTAAACTATGAAAAGGGTATTTTTGTATCTTTTAAGTAAGATTTGTGAATCAAGAAAAGATACTGATATTTTCTTTCAAGACGTGTGTGACGTAAGTCTGTTTTGAAAGAAATATTGTTTTGAGAAATGTTTCTTCCAGACGTGGTGACATAAGCCTGTAATGCTATGAAACTCTGTTTTGAAATGTTTCTGCCAGACATGGTGACATAAGTCTGTTCTGGTATGAAAAATTGTTTTTAGAAATAGTTCCCCAGACTAAAAAACCCCGACTTGAAGAGGGAATAAAGGTGGCATATCAAGGAGAGGTGTTCATATGGATATAAGGGTGGCATTTGTGGATGTGATAAATATTGTAACTCTTGTTATTATCACCATATGACGCGATAATTCTAAATCAGCATTTCTCTGTGACTTGATGATTTAGAGGCATTGCTCTTATTTRWATAATAACATTGATGTTTATTGAGAAGGGGAAAATGATTTATAACCAAAAGCATTATTTGCCCATGATTTCAAATGGTTTGATAAAAACTGAACAAGTAATTGAGAAGACACAGAGGAGCTCTGATTGGTCTTCGAAAAGGACTAGAGGACCTCTGGTCATGTGAAAATCTTTCAAAGTGTTTTCGGGAATTTTATGGCCCAAAGGCTCTGTATGTACTATACAGAGGCTCTGTATCATGAAAATGGTATGTCCGTAGTATGCATCTGAGCTCTGTGTCTTAAGGTCTGTGTCCGAGCTCTGTATCTGAGCTCCGTCTTTTAAAACTTAATCTTTTATATTTTTATGAGTCAATTCTTTTAATAACTTTTAGAATAAAGGCTCTGGTTGATAAGAGCAAAGGCTCTGGTTGACTAGAGGGACTGATTTATGAGAACAGTATTGTTCCTTAAAAGAGCCAGAGGAAGCTCTGGTCCTTAAGAGACAGAGGAGCTCAGGAGTGTTGAGCGAGAGGAGCTCTGGCCCGTTGAGTCATAGTATTTTTGTGACTTTGTGTTCCGTAAAGAGATGCAGATTTCAGGGAATGTGTTTATGTGTTATGAGAATTTGTTTGTTTTACAATTTGAGTAACAAGTAGATTTGCATCCTTTTGCTGAAATTTATTTATTTATTCGCAAAAGATGTTTTAAACAGGATTTGATCTTCACCCTGTAATAGCAAAGAAGAGATTTTCTCACTAGACCTTTCGATCTAACCCTCATTTTGTATTTTGAAAATGTGTATTGCAGGAACACCGGGGTCTCGAGATATAAGGGGGAAGGGGAAAATATGATTATTTTCCTTATCTGTTTATCTGCCTTTTGAAGATCAACCTGTGTTGCCTATTATATTTTGAAGATACATGTTGATATACATGTGATAGTACAGGGATATTCTTTTGGAATTTTTCAGTTGTAAATTTTGTATATATTGAATCCTTGTACTAGTGGGACCTTTGTGGTGTAAATTATATTTCCTTTATATGAAATTCATGTTATGTGCAAATGTGGAAGTTTGGGGTGTTATATGAATCAAAACCAATTCATGTCTAATCTGCAACAATAACCAAGGCAGATTCAGCTTACAATTTGCTCAACCAATCGTTCCCGCGAAAATGGAAATGCCAGAAATAAATATTATAGAACTCGGAGAATATGACCTAAAAGTAGGTATAATTAAATTAAGGTATATGTACAACATGGAAATTTTCTTAAGATAAACTAGAAAATCCAGCATTGATAAATGCATTGCCAACTATGTCTAACATGAAAAGATTCAAAGAATTACCTCGAAGGGCAATATGGGCTGGTATGGGGACAATTCTCGAAGATGTGGTCTGATAAAGGAATCCCCGGTCAATTGTTGTTTCCCCTCCTCTTTGACAGCTGCTCGAGAAGAGGCCATACAACTGAACTTCCTCTGATTCCTTGGAAAAGCACAGCTGGTTTTATCCAAAGACGGTGAAAAGCTAAAGCCATTGTTGCATATGATCATGCAAAGAGATGAACCATTATAAACATTGATCACGCCCATAAATCTGCATTTTGACTAAAATAATTCAAAACAATACAATGAAATGGCATACAGGTCAAACGAACACCATTGGAGAGAAAAACCTTACTTTGTCAAAAACAAAAATTATTGGGAGGATTTACTGCAAGTTCCAAGTTGCAGAACCTTAAACCCAGTAACAAGATACCCTATTGTATAGAAAAAAGCATGTAAAATCACATTTGATGGAATAAGATTATGCAAAAGTCATGTTCATAAAGAATGTATGGCATTTCACCCGTGAATGTTCAACAAAAATATGGCCAGTGATGAGCGTAGTAGTCAAATTAAAATACATATTTACTACATAAATTACAAGAATATATCATAACTCTATAACATGATAATCAAATCTATGTGCATGATGAATCAAATTGTAAGTTATTATATACCCACGACATGTGTCACACAAGGATACTGCTGAGGAGTATGTACGCCTATAGGGTCGCATGCAAAGAATACGTTTTGCTTCCATTTGAAAGTTACCCAAGAGTCATGTTTGACGTTTAAATGATTATTCTTGAAAAATAATTATAAAAATGTGTTGAAACATAATTATGAAAATTACAGGGTATTATCTGTAAATAAACATAATTATTAATGTTTTAGATAATTATATAATTATTTACAGATAAACATCAAACCTTATTTGAGTTATGRGCTTACTATGATACCAATCCATATAAATAGGGTGATAGGCCAATTCAATTTGAAATGGATTCATTCCTTTAGATTTGGCTATCAGTTAAATACAGAAAAGAAACCTTTTCTTTTCTGTGATACACATATTAGTATTAGGGTTCTTTTGGACTAGCACCTGGTGGGAGATCAACGCGTGTTTGTGTGTGGATCAATTATAGAGGAAGCTGTTGTTGGTTTCTTAGTGCCACGTCAGATACCTCGTCAGATCTATGAAGGTATGAATTCTAAACACCCTATGGTGTCTGATTTAATTTAAATGCATCATTGGATCCAACTATGGGTTTTTATGTTTTAAAAAAGCTTTCTAATTATTGTAACCAAAGTTTTAATTTTCTGCTGCATTTAAGGTTATAGAAGTACTAAAACCCAACAGTGGTATCAAAGCCACTTTGAGCATTTAACTAAAAGGGGGACAAAATTTTATGTGGCAATAATAAAAAATATATATATATATATAGATAGATAGAGATATATGTACTTTTTGACCTAGAAGTGTTGACCGATTAAGAGTTTTTTAACCATAATTTTAATCGCCCCCATTCTCCTAAGATCAAAGCCACAGAGGGCCTCATCTCCCATGAATCAGTCAGAGTCACCGACAGCCGATGACCAGCCGCTGCCGCTGGTTGCTGGCGGTAGATTAATTTTCCCGTTGGTTAACTGTCATCGTTCATAGCCTTTTCTACAATGGTTTTGTCCTCCCACGCTAATCATGGCTGGCTGCTGCTGGTTTTGGTGATGGTTTCCGTCTAATGCTGATTTGTAGGAGGCTGATCGCCACTGAGAGATCACTGCCACCGGGACTAAATACGGCAGTTGTTTCAATAGTTTTTACTTAGTGCCGTCGCTGATACGGCAAGGGCAAACATCCTAACGGTGGTGCGGCTGGGACTATGGTTCTTAAGCTACCATATTGTGACTACCGTTGGCATTTTCTTTGGCCGYTGTTATCCCATGATCCTGGACCGATCTTACCTGGGATCGCAAATCCCAAATTTGTCTATGAAGAGCGGATCCGAGCGGCTAGAAGCTGCAGCCATTGCTGCTAGCCTTGAGTTGGGCGGCTGTTCCATTGCTTGATTTGAGAGCGACCACCGTGTGACAAAAATCCATACCGATTGGTTGCCCAATCACGGCCTTGGCTTAAGACTGCATGTGCGGACCACACCTTATCAGTTGGTTTTCTGGCTTGTGCGTACAACACCATCTATGAGCGGTTAGGTACCCTCTTTTATCAAGAGAAACCCCATCGTTTGTTTCGGACGCCGGTACAACTGGGGTCACGGACCACTGCTGCTGCCATCGTGTCTCCTTGGTCGACCGGGTTTTATTTTCTTTTCAATTCCGGCCACCAATCCATGGCGGTCCAGGATGGTTGTTTGGGTACCCTTTTGGAAGCATCATTAGGGATGCCCGTGGCCAGACCATTGTCCTCCTGAAACCACCGTGATCAATTGGCTTGGAGACAAGCTTCTGGTTTGTCATCCTAATCTGTTTGGTTTTGGGCTTAGACCCAAAAGGGAAATCTGGTTTTTCTTTGGGTCACAAACAAARTATTAGGGATTGGGTTGATTTAAATTTATATTTTCCATATAAAGATTTGTTCCAAAATTTTGGCCTTTATATTTATGATAAATATTTTTGCCTAAATATTTAAATATATATTTAAAATTATGTATAATATATGGTTTGCCCCGAAATACCGTGGTTTGGATGTTTTATTCTAATTCGGAAATTAAAATGTATAAATTGCAAAGCATTCTAATTTTGTTTCAATTTTTCTAGATAAGGACAAATGTAAATGGAATGGATTCATGATAGATTTTTCTATTTAAATTTGTAATTATCCGAAGATGATATTCCAAGAAGTCAAGACGGAGTTCCTGGAGTTTACCAAGATGGCTAGGCCAGTGGGAGCTTGAAGACGTCCTTAGACTGAGTGTGGTTGTTGTGGTGGCTCACAACACYACATTAGGGGCAAAACCATATAATATAAATTGTTGTGATTGTTTATTTTTTGCGTTTGTTTTATTTTATTTGTTGCTTTCATTTATTGTTATATTTGCAAAAGTTTTTAAGATAAAGTCAAAAGCAAAATAAATTTTTAAATTGGTAATAAAATATGATATTTTATCAAAATTAAACCGATTTCTAAATAAGGTTTTAAAACAAATRATTTTTAAATCAAACGTTTTAAAGACATAATGTTTTCTAAAATTCAAACATTTCACAAATGTAAACTTGACGCCATCCATTTAAAGTACTTGTCGAAGTTTACGGATTCTAGTACGGTCAGAGCCCAGCCAATCATGCTGGATGACTGTAGTGTGAGACAAAGCGCCAAAATAACGAGATTTAAGTGAACAGAGCATTGGCTACTTAAAGAGTCGTGTTTTTGTACGACTGATCCCAATAAACCCCAAGTCCAGAAATCAGGTGGGATCACCATACCCTTGGTATGGTTAGTTTACTTGCGAATTTCATAGACAGAGCATTAGCCATCTATGAGTATTTTCAAGGCGTTGAAGTGGATAAAACATGCCTATTTTGATATATGACATATTGAAAAGAACCCCACAAAAACCTAAGAGTTACATTGAGCGTAATTGAATGATGCCTATCTAAATAACCTATTTCCATAGACAACGCATTAACCATTTATGAAAATTGGTGAAATACGGATCTTGGTTCGAATTAAAATATTTTTGAAAGGTTAATTATTTAATTTGAGATTTCAAAATTACTAAAATTGAACTTAATTTTGTAGACGTCCGCTAATACCACAGATTCTTCAAACTTATCCCAATTTACACTGCGGCCAATCCTTGATAAGGAAAAATTGAACGGGACAAACTTCATCGAATGGTTTCACTTCCTAAAGGTCGTACTTAGGCATGAACAATTCTACGTTCTAGAGAAACCTCCTCCAAACACTCCCACTAGAACTCCTTCAGCTAAAGTCTAGGCTGCTCATGATAAGTATGTCAATGACTCACAGGAAGTTGGTTGTATGATGTTAGCCTCTATGACTCCCGAGTTATCGAGGGATCATGAATCCATGACTGCATGGGAGATGATATCCTCACTAAATTCAATGTTTCAGTTACAAACTAGGTAAGGTTTGATACAATCAGTGTTTGCCTATAAAATGATTGAGGGCTCGTCAGTAAGTACCCACATTGTGAAAATGAAAGGACATATTGACATTTGGCCCGTATTGGCTTCCCAATGAAAAGAGAATTGGCAATCGATTTGGTTCTCAATTCCCTACCTAAATCATATGGTCAGTTTGTTCTGAACTACAATATGAAAAGTTTAGATAAAAATCTAACARAGCTTTACGGCTTGCTTAAAACTGTTGAGAGAAATATAAAATCCATGTTGGATTTAACCAAACCAAAACATGTTCTGATGATCAAACCTAAAGGTGGGATAGTCAAGAATAGCAAGGTGGTAAAGAAAAAAGAAAAGGTTGGAAGTTCCAACRRAGATAAGGGCAAAGAAAAGATTCCTAAGGATGTAGTTTGGTACAACTATTTTCACAATGGACACCGGAAGAAAACTTGTCCAGCCCGATTAGCAAAGATCAAGAAGCTGAAGGCTATGGTCACTAGGGAATCTGATGTTGTAGTGCCCAACACTTCCATTCCATTATGACGTCTGACTGAACTGATCATCCATCGAGAACAACGTATCCTAATGATACGGATGGCCTTCTTACCTTGAAATTTTTAATTATATAAGTTTCAATGTTTAGAGATTTACACTTAAATTGACTTCACTTTTATAGTAGCGTTTCCTTTCAGTTACCTGTTTCATATCTTGTATTTCATGTGTTATTATCTTTCACTGGGCAATTTTGCTAAGCCGAGGTTTGTTTCGTTTTACCTAGGCAGGTTCAAGATCTAACCCAAAGGCAAGATGAACGGTCGAGATGGCTTAAGATGCTAAAAGACTAGCGGTTTAATTTAGTGCTTTTGCTATGTAATTATGTAAATATGTTAGTGTTATGAATTCTGGTGGTTGTAATGTTAACCTTTGGGAGTTCCATTAGACATCTGTACTTGAAATGGTAGACTTTTGATCCATTTTCAGTAATGACACGCCTCATCTTAAGTCTAGTAGGATGGGGGTGTTACAAAAACTTTCGGTATGTTTACCATTGATTTGTTCACTTTTGACTCTGATTACCGAGTATATAATGTTGGGTATGATACCCATATTTATACTATTTTCTAGGGAATAAGAAGTGAAGAGAAGATGAAACCAGGCCAATTAGAGTTACAATAAACTGGATTTATGTTTACTTTCAATGATAATACAATTTCAGTTTACCATAACAATTTTTGTATTTTGTGGCTAAACCACTTAATGGTATTTATGAAATTAATAGTCGGAATTACAAACAACTGAATTAAATGAGGCTTAAATCAAACCTATTTGTCACAAACAAACAAGAAATACATAACCAAACTTCAAACGGACGAAGTCTTGGAATCATGTGATGATTCATATGATACATGTGAGTCTTGTTTAAAGATGAGAAAAGTATTTTAAAAGAACAAATGCAAAAGAACTAAATGAGTTATTCATACTAATGTATGTGGTTCTTTTATTTAAGTCACAAAAAATGATCATCACTACTTCATAATCTTTACTGATGACTTCAGTGGATATAGGTATGTTTACCTCATGAGAAATAAGTTTGAAAGCTTTGAGATATTCAAAGAGTTTCATAATGAAGTAGAAAATTAACTTAGCAAAAGCACTTCGATTGGATCGAAGTCACAAGCCAAAAGTTTATTGATTATCTTACAGATCATGGGATAGTATCTCAACTAACTCCTCGC